AGTATACTACAGACCCCCTCCATGTAACTGGGGTATACTACTGACCCCCTCCGTGTAATTGGGGTATACTACAGACCCCCTCCATGTAACTGGGGTATACTACAGACCCCCTCCATGTAACGAGTATACTACAGACCCCCTCCATGTAACTGGGGTATACTACAGACCCCCTCCATGTAACTGGGGTATACTACAGACCCCCTCCAGGTAACTGGGGTATACTACAGACCCCCTCCATGTAACTGGGGTATACTACAGACGCCCTCCATGTAACGAGTATACTACAGACCCCCTCCATGTAACTGGGGTATACTACAGACCCCCTCCAGTCCCGTATAAAACATCCATTATGAGCCGAACTTGTAGAGTCAGTAGACGGAATAATGGGAAAGAAAAGCTGATTTATTAATCACCTTACAAAGGTTTTCATTCTTATCAGGTAAATCTTCCACTTCCCTCCAGCAGGGGGCTCTCCGAGACAATGAAGCTGCCTGCGCACTCTGATCCCTACTGCAGTGACATTGTGTGAGACCTCAGATGAGAATTGCAATTAGACTTATCCGAAAAACTTTTCCCGCACTCGGGGCAGCAATACGGCTTCTCCCCCGTGTGATATCTTTGATGTACAACGAGTTCCGAGTTCCGTGTAAAACTTTTTCCGCACTCAAGGCAGGAAAATGGCTTCTCGCCCGTGTGCAATCTCTGATGTGTGATAAGACTACTCTTACATGTAAAACTTTTCCCGCACTCGGGGCAGAAAGACAGCCTGCCCCCCAGGTGAGATTTCTGATGTCTCAAAAGGTCAGATTTCCGTATATAACTTTTCCCACACACAGAGCAGGAATTCAGATTTTCCTGTGTGTGATATATCTGGTGTTTAGTAAGACTGGACTTAACAGAAAAGCCTTTTCCACACTCTGAACATGAATACAACTTTTCCCTCGGGTGAGATCTCCGATGTAGAACAAGGTCTGATTTCTGTGAAAAACAAAGCCCACACTTAGGGCAGGAATATGGCTTCTCTCCTGTGTGAGATATCTGATGTTTGACCAGTTGTGATTTAAGGCGAAAACCTTTCCCACACTGAGGACAGGAATGAGGCTTCTCGCCCGTGTGCAATCTCCGATGTTGGGAAAGACGGTACTTCTGTGAAAAACCTTTCCCGCACTCAGGGCAGGAATACGGCTTCTCCCCTGTGTGAGATCTCTGATGTCTCACAAAGTCTGCTTTCTGTAGAAAACTTTTCCCACACTCCTGACAGGCAAACGGCTTCTCGCCTGAATGCCGTTTCTGATGTGTGGAAAGCAGGTCCTTCCGTGAAAAACTTTTCCCGCACTCAGGGCAGGAAAACAGCTTTTCCCCCGTGTGGTATATTAGATGTTTAGAAAGATGGGACTTTTGATGATTTTTAAGATTGGACATCTGTGGAAAACTTTTTCCGCACTCTGGGCAGGAATATGGCTTCTCTCCTGTATGAGATCTTAGATGTATAATAAGTTCTGATTTCCATGGAAAACATTTTCCGCAATCATGGCAGGAAAATAGATTTCCTGTGTGGAATTTCTGATGTCTTGAAAGAAGGGTCTTAGATGAAAAACATTTTCCACACTCAGGGCAGCAATACGGCCTCTCCCCTGTGTGAGATCTCTGATGTATAACAAGGTATGATTCATCTGAAAAACATCTTGCACAATCAGGGCAGGAATATGACTTCTTCTTTATGTGAGATCTTTGATGTCTGACTAATTCTGATTTAAGCAGAAAACATTTCCCACACTGAGGACAGGAATGAGGCTTCTCACCGGTGTGTAATCTCTGATGTCGGGAAAGACTGGACTTATGTAAAAAACATTTCCCACACTCAGGACATGAATGTTCGCCGGTGTGTATTCTCTGATGTCCGGAAAGCCTAACCTTATCAGAATAACTTTTCCCGCACTCAAGGCAGGAAAATGTCTCCTCCCCCTGAATTCCGGCCCCATCCCCCACAGGACGAGGTCGCTCAGAGTCAGAGGGATTCCGTGGTCTCTCCACACTGTGACCTCCACCATCCATAGCTGAGCTCATTGTCTCTTCTCCCGCACAATCTGCTGTGATGTCCTCATCTTCCATCTTACAACCTGGAGATAAAGTCAGACGATCCTTTGAGGGTTCCTCCATGGCGTGTCCTGGAAACATAGAGACACATGATGGAGAGATACGAGAGGGTTAGATGACTTCACTCAACATTCCATCTGGATCAGGAGGTCTGAGGGAGCAGATGTTCTATGAGGAGGTCCCAACCAGCCGGGACTCCTCCCCTCTTCAGTCAACATTCCATCTGGATCAGGAGGTCTGAGGGAGCACATGTTCTATGAGGAGGTCCCAACCAGCCGGACAGTTATCAATACAGGGAGGTCACCCCTATGACTGGCTGATATCACTCGGCTCCGCCCTCCTCTGGACCAATCAGTGTGCAGGAATAGAGCTAACAGAAGAATATATTGTGGGTCACAAATATAACAAACCTTCGCATACACCCAATCAGAATGTGAATCACTTCCCGCTCTTATGATCGACGATTGTCTCAACTTCCATCTCCCTGAGTGGGGGAAATGTTTCGACCCCGGCGGTTAATATACGTTTCTACGCTATATATATATGTACGTGAGGACCGACATGACGGGGGGAGGGGTTACTTTGTCTAAATATAAAATAATATCTTATTACCTCCTCTGCTGCCAGTTCCAGCAATGTCTCCTCTCTACTTCTTCCAAAATCACCTCTCACCTGGAACTTCCTGTTTTATAGGTGACACTTCCTGCCATAGAGACTTCCTGTCTGGGTATAGGTGAGATCACCATCTGGTGGAGCTCAGAGGAACTGCAGCCCCGAGAAACCTCTCGTAGTGTGAACACGGCCTTGTGCTGTGTGTTCTGTATAGACGGGTCATCTCCACTCCCACCGAGAGGGATAGAAATGTATGACTGATAGGGATCAGTGGAGGGATTTTGCAGCAAATCTGATGATAGGTTTAGCCATGGGCAAGGACGGCCCTCCCACAGTGACTCGCTAAGAACCTGAAGGACCTGCCCGGGGCTCATTCATGGTTCCTTTTCTCTCCCAGGCCAAAGCTGTCTATTGAAATTCTAATGGTGGACAATCTGTCTCTTCCGTTCTACTTGTAGTGCCCTCTGCTACGTCGCTACTTAATCTAGTTCTATATTGGGACTGCAGTCAATCTGGATGCTGATTGCTCTGAGTTCTGCTGGATTCCCTGAGTCTGGGGGATTGATTGCTTCCCCCTGTTGCTGGGTTGGGGCCTCAGCATACAGTGAGGGAGGATCCATCCTCAGACTGTGACTATGCATCTGACTCTGACCAATCCCTGAGCAGGATGACTCAGAGGTGTGGCTGGAGGAAGGTGATAAAGGTTTTGGGACACTTTCCAGAACTCTCTCTCTCCCCTGGGGCCCTCCCTGGGAGGAAGTCTGCGTGATACAGATGCCTGGTCTGGGCCTCAGCATGTGGCAAATACTGGGGGCCTAGAGGCCTAAGATACTACTGGACGCCTGGTCTGGGCCTCACCATGTGGCAGATACTGGGGGCCTAGAAGCCTAAGATACTACTGGACTCTTGGTCTGGGCCTCAGCATGTGGCAAATACTGGGGGCCTAGAGGCCTAAGATACTACTGGACTCCTGGTCTAGGCCTCAGCATGTGGCAGATACTGGGGGCCTAGAGGCCTAAGATACTACTGGACTCCTTGTCTGAGCCTCAGCATGTGGCAGATACTGGGGGCCTAGAGGCCTAAGATACTACTGGACTCCTGGTCTAGGCCTCAGCATGTGGCAGATGCTGGGGGCCTAGAGACCTAAGATACTACAGGATGCCTGGTCTGGGCCTCAGCATGTGGCAAATACTGGGGGCCTAGAGACCTAAGACACTACTGGACTCCTGGTCTGGGCCTCAGCATGTGGCAGATGCTGGGGGGCCTAGAGACCTAAGATACTACTGGAAAGGAACCTGATGGAAGCCGGGCTGGAGGTGGAATCTGCTTATGGAAGAGTGTCGCAGAGGAGCTGGTGAGAGGTCCCGTCTGGAACCCTGTAAGAGATCCCTCACCCTACTCTCAGGTACTATACAGAAGAGAAGCCGGTTGGTGCACTACAAGTCATGTGACGGTTCTCTCTCAGAGTCCTGGACTATTCCTGGCTGTCCTCTGGTGCTACTTCATATTGCTGGTCGCTCTCACAGGACCGTTGTGCTTCTGATACAAGCCGTTGCTAAGGGAGACGACAGAGTCCTCCGAATTGTTACTCGGGTATCCTGCACCCCCCGACCCTCTCTCCTGGTTACTACTGAGCAATAAATA